AAAAAAGTTTGTACAGTTAAGAGGCCAGTGAGATGGCTCAGCAAATAAGAGTACATGCTAAGCAAGCCTGGTAATACCACCCCAAGTTTATTACATGGAACCCACATAAAGATAGAAGGCGAAAACCAATTCCACAAAGTTTTCCTCTGACATCTAGACATGCACCATGATATTTGCACCCTCCCCCCCACACACACACATACAAACACACACAGTTATATTCAGATATTATCTTTTAATTTAATGCTCTATAGAGATGGTTCAACAGTTAGAGCACTTGTTGCTCTTATAGAGGACCTGAATTCATTTGCCAGTACCCATATGGTGGCTCACAACACCTGTAACTCCAATTCCAGGGGTCTGACACTCCTGAACTTTGAAGACCCTAGGGATACATGTGGTGCACATACATCCATGGAGGCAAAGCACTCACATAATTTTTTTAATTAATAAAAGATTGCTTCAGTAAGGATTTTTGTATAGCATGAGCAGTCTAAAAGTTCTGATAAGGGAAATGTTCATGTCTATCTCTTATATATTCCTTTCATATGTTCAATGATGAGCTTCTGTCTTCCATGTGAGAAAATACTGATAAAATTATCAGTGGCACTCAGTCTGGTATTGAGCAAAGAACATACCTATTAAAAGAATTTTTTAAGATGCATAACCTGTGCTTTCAAGCATGTGGAGATCGTGTATTCCATATGTCCTGATCTTGCTATTTAAAGAATGATGCATCTGCCTGTCAAAGGCAAAATAAAAACAAAACAGATGTGGTGATTAAAATTTATGTATAATGTCTGGGAAACAATGACTTCTAGGTCCCTACTCTCAAACGGAATATCACTGGAAAATCCATAGCTAAGATTTTGTTGTGCGGATAGGAGATATATATGTGTGTGATGTTTATATTTAAATTGCTCATTTTCTCCCTTTTGTCACTGCTTATGGAACTTATTTTAAAATAGATTAGATTATTTCTCCTTTGTGTCTGATGACCCCTTTCTCTCGTAGTCTGTTGAATTTTATTTTATTTATTTATTTATTTATTTATTTTTGAGATAGGGTTTCTCTGTGTAACAGCTCTGTCTTGGAACTCACTCTGTAGACCAGGCTGGCCTTTAACGCACAGAGATCCATCTGCCTCTGCTTCCTGAGTGTTGGAACTAAAGGAGTATGCTACCACCACCTGGTGAACACTATGTTCTTAAGACTATTTTTGAAGGATATACAGACAGTTTTTGATTAATTTAGTACTTTGTTTCATGTGTGCTGCAGCAGTGTCGCGTGAACTTTAAAGAAGTTGACATACCAGATGAGTGAAGACACCATGGCCAATGTAGGGGATAAAGCAAAGGTTGTAGCCAGAGGGACATTTATAGCAGAAGCACTTGCATGGAAAGGAAGTAGGCTAGCCTTGCACAGCTGCATAGATAGTTGTGCATCCCTCCTAAGGGCTGAGTCATAATAGTGACAGGTTCAAGGCTACCTTTAGCATATAGCAATACCAAATGTCAAGAACCACAGAAGTAAACTCTCAAATAAGGACCCTAAGTTTGCAGTTTTAGAAACTAGAAAAGGTAGGGGAGGCTGGAATGTAGTTCATTGGTTAAGAGCACTGGTTGGTCTTGCAGAGGAACCCTAGTTTGGGTCTCAGCACTCACATAGTGCCTCACAACCATCTATAACTCTAAGGCCAGAGTATCTGATGTCCTCCCTGGGTGCAAGGCACACATGTGGTTCACAAACATACATAAAGACCAAACACCTATGCATATAACTCAATTAAAGAGAAGAAAGAATGAATGAAAGAAAGAAGGAAAGGAAGGAAAAAAGAAAGGAAAGAAAGAAATACAGATAAAACTGAAAGAGGAGATGGGGAAATTATAAAGAGCAGACATAAGCACAACAACTAGAAGCCAGAAGAGAAAACTAAGTCAAAAATTGGTCCTTAGTGAGGTATGATATCCAGCATTTGGGAGGCTGAGGAGAATTGCAAATTTGAGTCCTTCCTTAGACCAGCATGGGTTATATGCAATACCTTATCTTTAAAAAGTTTAAAAGTTGGCTCCTTGAAAAGATGAAAAAATTGAAAAACTTATACATAGATTGGTAAATAATAACTTAAATCAGAAGTGAAAGGGTCACAATGCTATTGGCTTCATGAAAATAAAAGGGAGAAGTAAATACCGCAAGCAGACACATGCCAATACATATTCTACATGAACAAATTCCTAGAAACATACACTGTTAAGGCTGGCTTAGACTTAAACAGAGAAAAAGAAGAGAATCAGTAATAGATGTGTTTGTAGTTAAGGAAGTCCCAGAGCCAAATGACTTTCCCAGTAAAGTGTAGTAATCCTTTTTAGGCTACTGCTTTTTTAGGGGCAGCATTGAAATGATACCAAAGTCACAGACACAGCAAGGAAAATGAACTTAACCATTTTCAATATGTATTCCATAGAATATAAACACACTGAAGATAGTGTATAAAGATTACATTCTATGACCAAGTAAATTTGTCCAAGAAACACAAGAATGGCTTGACATAGGAAAATTAATCAGTGTAACTTACCACAGTAATAACATGAAGGAAAACAAAAAAACAAAATCAGGCAGCTGATGGAGTGGGGAGGGGATGCATCTAACAAAAATCTAGGACTTCTACCAGGTGAAGCACGGGCTTTTAATCCCAGCACTTAGAAAACTGAGGCAGGCAGCTTGGACTATATAGCAGATTTCAGACCAGTTGAGACTGCATTGTGAGACTATCCCATACCTACTCAAAAACAAACAAAAACTAGTACTCTTTGATGTTAAGACCATTTAATAGGGAGCAAGAGTGATGACTCGGTTGTTACAAACATTTACTGCTCTTCCACAAGAACTGAGTTCATTTCCCAGAACTCATACCCAGTAATTCACAACTGCTTGTAACTCTGTCTTCAGAGAATCTGGTGGCCTCTACAGGCACCTACGCACACGCACACATGCACACGTACACACACACATACACGCACGCAGCTTAAGAAAAAATAATGAGATAACTATAGGAAGGAACTTCCTCAAGTTAGGAAATGTATTTTTTATGTAAAACAGCCAATCGTATGTTCAAGGTTAACATTAAAATTATTCCCCTAAAGCAAGATTTATTTATTTATTATGTGTACAGTGTTCTGCAGGCCAGAAGAGGACACCAGATTTCATTACAGATGGTTGTGAGCCAACCATGTGGTTGCTGGGAATTGAACTCAGGACCTTTGGAAGAGCAGACAGTATTGCTGAGCCATCTCTCCAGCCCTTGTTTTCACCTCTTTTATTCAGCAGTGTATTGGAAATTATAGGAGAGTAAAGAAGGAAAACTACCCTTACTTGTAGACATTTTGGCCTTTTCTTTAGAAATGCTTAAGGGATTCACCCTAAAACTATTGGATCTAAGGGCTGGAGAGATGGCTCAATAGTGAAGAACACATCCTGCTCTTGCAGAAAACTCAAGTTCAGTTCCCCACACCCAGATCTAATGGCTTACAACTACTTTTAGTTCAGCTCCAGGGGATCAATATCCTTTTCTGGACTCTACTGACAGATCCACTCATGTGTACTGCCTCCACCTCCACCCCTACACAAGGTGAATGAACTTCATACAAGGTAAAATAAAGTCATGTGTAGAAGGTTATATTAACATTAACATGGACAAGCCAGAATAGGTCAGTCCACAGAGGCAGAAAGAAGGGTAATAGTTGCCATAAGCTGTGGAAAACAAAACAAGGAGTAACTGCTTAGTATATGTGGGTAGAAGAGGAAAGGAATGACTACTGTTTCCTTCAGGCATGCGGCAGTGATCTGGACCTAATGGTTGTACATAGTAAGTATATTGAGGCTCACTGCTAGGAGACTGTTTTAAACAGTTAGTTTTATGTCGTGGGGAGTTACTGTAATATTTTTAAGTACTCAAACAGTAAGAAGTCATATAACTTAGTTTTTCTTGACTATTAGAATGGAGGCAGTGACTAGAATACAGTGGCTGCTCTTATGTTCTGCTCACTCTTTCTGAGTGGAGTAAGTTTGTTCTTATAGCATGGCATAATGCTCAGCACTAAGGACATGAAGATGGCAGTAAGGGTATTAAGTATATATCAGGAGAGTAGTTAATAAGCTGGAGGAATCATGTTCTCATGCCTGAAAGCATCTTCTGAGTTTCTTTTTCACCACCCTTCCCCAATAAAGTCACTTCCCCTTTCTTGTTTCACATTGATGTGATACTTTTCATTTCAGCTACCAGAAATTTCAGACCCATGTTCTGCCACTTATAACTTCACTTTGTTTGTAATAAGATCACCAAAACAGTGATTTAGGTTAGGGCTGCTGAATCTCAAAATTTCAGTGATGGACCCATGCTCTGTCCCTAACTTTTGTCCTCTTGATGGATTACTTACTCACATTTTGGATGGCTAGACATTAGGAAACCTAACATATGTATTCATTAATAGACTCCAATTCTTAACGGGAGTGAATAATTATTATGGGCCAAATAGAACAAGTTACATTTTTTTATCAGAGAATCCAAGATACATGGGACATATCTTGGGTCTTGTACTTTTGTCCAAGAAACATAAACTGAACAAATCTGACATAAGGGGACAACGTAGCACATGGAACAGAGTGGAGCTGAACCACCTCTTTCATCCTTCAGTTCACGTGGTGGGTAGTATGTCCGCTAATGCATTGAGGCAACGTGCTCTGTGCCATTTTGTAAGAAACTTAACAAAGTGAAAGAGAGTCTAGAGGACCATGTCAGGGATGAGGAGGAAGGACACCCCCCTCCCTTGTCTATTTCATGAAACAAATGAAGAAAGCAAAAGGGATTAGTCTTATAAATGTGGGAGCTCTTCAAATGGTAAGAGTATCCAAAAAGAAAAAAAGAATCAGCTGACTATGTGATCATGAAAGCTTTCAAGCAAAGCCCAGGCGACCACTTTCAAGAGCATCCTTATAATTAAAAGATACCATAGTCACCAAAATGTATTTCAATCCTGAGATTAATGTGTCTACGTAATTACTAAAAAGTAGACAAGGGAGCTGGGTATAGTGGCACATGGTTTTAATTCTAGCACTCAGGAGACAGGGCATGTGGATCTCTGAGCTTTAGGACAGCCAGGGCTACACAAAGAAACTGTCTCAACAAAGCAAATACAACAAAAGGCAGGCAAGAGAAGGGTGAAGAAAAAGAATAGAGTTTAAAACCAGTGGCCTAGTTGAATTTAAAAAGTACTTTCTGATTACTTCTAAATTTTAAGGCATTGATAAAGGTCCTTTCTGTCAATAATTCAGAAGTGATGAGCTTGGTCTTTAGCAGCAAGATGACATGTTTCCTTGTCCTTGTTTTATAGTCTGGTCTCCTGAGACAAGATTTAGGACTTGGGAGCCCAGCACAGCTGTCTTCTTCAGGAAAACCTGGAACACCATACTACTCATTCTCTGCCACAAGTTCTAGGAGAAGACCGCTCCATGACTCTGTAGCCCTAGGTGAGTGTTTGACAGAAAATCCCATCTCTCAGATATCCTGCTTCCTTAGTCTGTACTTGTGGTTGTGCTTTAATGAGAAGAAATTTACTTTGTTGGTCATCATTTGGATGTAAAGGTCTATCTACATACAAATCATATACAGGCTGAGTATTCCTAACCTAAAATCTAAAATCCAAAGTGCTCTAAAATATGAAACCTATCATACTGACATTATACCATAGAAAATTTCATACATGACTACCTGAGATGGGCCACAGCCATAAAGTTCACTAAAGTATGTATGAAATTACCCTTTGACTACGTAAATAAGGTGTATATGAAACATAAATGAACTTAATCTTTACATGTGGGTTCTGTCCCCAAGATACTGCATTATATTTACATAGATAGTCCAGATCTGAAGACTAAAACCTATCTGGCCACAAGCATTTCACGTAAGGGATACTCATCTTGTATGCATTAGATACATAACGAATGAAGTTGTCAGAGTTCCCACTGTTGTAAAGAACTCATCTGCTTTGTATTCAAGGTTTAACTAACTATAGGTAGTTTTGGTTGACAATTTCAATATTTAAATTGTAATTTTCATCAATATGAGCATGGTGTGGTATATATATATATATATATATATATATAATCTCTGACCTTTTAGTGTTTGACAACTGATCGAGGAGTTCTTCCATGGGGGAGACCATTTCTCTCGCTTTCAGCATTCCCCAGTTGTTTGTTTAGAATAGATGCCCTCAAGGTGTTCCCCTTCCATGTTAGCATGTTGATGATATCATTTGTTGTTGTTGTTTTCAGTCCCTGTTTAGGCAGCCATGTGAAACCATAATTTTAGGCAAACAATTTAATATTTTGCTCCATGAGAGTATTTAGCCAATTTTTCTTCTAACTAGCAAGTGTTTTCTTCTTAAATGGAAACTTATGTTTTAACACCTAGATATTAATTAAAATGAAAATTGAAAAGCTTACAAAATGTTTATAAATTCCTGTCTCAACAGTAAATAATCCTGTTACTCCATAACTTTAATTAGGAATTTAACATAAAAATTAAGGCTCAAAAGATGTCACATATATAATAGTTAGTAGGTTACTCTCCTGGGATAAATTTTAAGATTGTTGGGAATTTGAGTGTGGTGGGTTTTCTGTTGTTGTTGTTGTTTTTGCTTGTTTGCATATTAGTTACTTCTATTCTCCACTTTTCCCTTGAAATTGACATAAAATTAACAGGCACTTAACTTACTAGCATGAAAGTGTACAATGGAATCATATATAGGACATTCACAGTGTTGTTTAGTTCGGAGAAGCATGCAGAAAGAAACTGTATATGCATAAAGCATTCATTTATACTGCTCCTTTACAGCTTTGGATGTTTATGTCAATCATATGAATATGCATGTATTCCTTCATTCAGCCATCCATTCTGACAAAACCAGTCTGTTTTATGCTGCTGGGTATTCTGTAACACTTTCTATCTACGCAGTGTTTAAAGTGACAATCTTGTGTGACTTTTTTTAAAATTATATGAAAATGAAAGTTGTAAAGGTAGACCGGCTCCTAAAGTAACTGTAAACCAAAGTAAAATGTGCTGTAGTTCCCAATTTCTCAAATATTTGTTGACTGCCTCGAGCTACTATATCTACCTTCTGTCAAGCCATGTATTTTGATGAGCTATTTCTAGGCTCTAGGTCTAAAGTATGAATGAGGTACAGTGATAGATGGATTGCTACATCCAGAAAAGAATTCTGGTATCTTTATTTCATAGGAGCATGGTCGTGTAATATATATGGGTGCTATCAGAGTCAGCCCTGTTGGTTTAGATTAGCATTGTTTTTATGATTAAAGAAATGACAACTTACAAAATGTTGTCCATCTAGACTCTGCTTGTCCACCTGATGAGTTAACCCAGTAGAAGCCTCATCTGTTTCTGTATTGGGTTAGTCTACAGGAATATCTTCTTCACAGACTCTATGCACACACTGTAGCAACAATCAGTCCCCACCAGTATGCTGCTACCAAAGAAAACCAACTATTGAATAACTAGAAAAGAATGGGGATACAGTCCATTAAAATCCAGGCATAAAAATCAAGTTTTCTGTAAATTCAAGCTTCATTTCTATTTGATTATATATAGATACTATTGCTTATGTAGTGCATCTTTTCAAAACTCAGTGATATCAGATTACAAATGAGGAGCTCAAATGGAATGCAGTATATAGTGTTTCTCTTGTTACTCAGAGGAATCTTATCCATTTACTGTGTGAATACCAGTTAGTAGATTATTATTATGCTGCCCATTGCTGTTCCCTTGGCATTGCAATATCTGGTAAAATATGGCACTTATAAGAACTTTAAGGATGTACAACATTATTAGTGTTTTCCAAAACCATTTCGGTACTTTAAGAAGTTATTCCAGAGAGCAGTAACTCTCTAATTTAAAATTGTTTTGGTCTACATTAATAAAGTTATTAAGTGTGGGACAGGAGACATGGCTCCACAGTTTAGAGCACTGGTTGTTCTTCCAGATGTCCTGGGGCAACTTCCAGCACCCATATGATGGCTCACTACTGTTTGTAGCTCCTGTCTCAGGAGATCTAATATTCTCTTCTGGCCTCCATGGGCACTGTATCCACATGATACACAGATATGCATTAAAACACCCATACACATTTTAAAAAACATTAAAGTGTCACAAATGTTAGACAGTGCAATGAGCATATTATCACAGAGCATGAAACTCACAGGAGAGGTGGTGCCCACCCATTCATGCATCCAAAGGAACTGATGCACAAAGAAGTTGAAGTAACCTTCCCAGGTTCATACTGCTACTGTACTGAATATAGCTAGCTTATTGTCCATCACAATTTGCAGTCTCCCCATACTAGACTGAATCCCAAACTAGAGAAAGTATGTGGCTAATGATGGGCTACAAAAGAAAGATCTTTATTCTGATAACTACAAGCCATAGAAGTCATTTGTATGAAGTGTAACTTTCGGTCAAGGATTAAGTTGTAAGGAAGCATTTCATCAGGAACAAAGGTTTTGCTTTAAGTCTTACAAATACAGAATATGCCAGATGTTGTTTATCTTTGGCACTTCTGTTTTAAGGAAATGTGGGCTACCTCTTGAGATATCCATGCTGATGAATGCTTTTTGCCTTTAATTTATTGTGTAATATTTTCCATGTGATGCTTATAAAGTTGCTTTATTAGCTTTACAGCCTTCTGGGATATTACCTGTAGAAAATCCACGGCCAAATTTAAATAAGTTTCAATCTTAATAAAATCACATTTTATTTTATACTATCATTTGCTTGCAGTTTTAAAAAATGCGAAATTTTTCCACATCAGTCTTCCTAATAGTGAATCCCTCTGAAAATTATGAATTTGATCCATTATTTGAATATAGTTGGAAAGTTGTGTATATCATTTTCAAAAAATAAGATGGAAAAGTTATAAATATTGTATATGAGGGAAATTAGAATACCAGTTAGGTATATGAAAAATAGTCATTTTCATTTATATTAACTTATCTTACAAATATGCTATTACAAAACATACTATTTTGGATCTGGAGTTATGGCTCAATAATATGAGCAGGTTCTGCTGTTGAAAGGGACCCAAGTTTAGTCCCACACACATGTGGCAGCTTATAACCATCAGTATGTAATTCCAGCTCCAGAAAGTCCAGTCCTGGACTTGGACTCCAAGGTACCCGTATTTAAATATGCACCTACATTCACATATGCATGGTCACACACACAAATAAACACACATACACAGATACACATAATTTAAAATAAGAGATAATATGTTCTCTCTGTATTCATTTCCTGAAAAGATATGCAGACTTTTAATAAAAGTTCAAATTATACTGTAGTGCTGAAACTTCAGTTTTATTCACACATTGCCAAAGTGAATGCCTCTAATCCTAGATGTATATATTGGCTCTATTTCATAGCATATGGAGCATGTCTTGATATTATTATAACCTTAGTTTTTATTCCTTCAACTTTATTTCAGATTTTTAGCATAAGTTGTATTAAAGCATCTGCAGTTAGATACTATGTTTTAAAAAGTATGCCTTTAAGCCTAATGCTTTTTTTTTTTTGATATGATGTAGTTTGTCTCTCTGTTAGCAAGACCTGTTGTACAGAGTTCTTTTCCAGTAGACTGACAATGTGTGAAGTACTTAGAGTACTTAGACACTCACGGCATAGCAGGCTCTTAAGACCTGTTCATTCTCCTCCCTTGTTTGTGCTGTTGTTGTGTTTTCTTTCTTGTTTTACTGTTATCATTCCGACCTTACAACCTGAGTAGAAGAACCAGTGCTGACATTCTTGTGTTCCCCTTCTTAACACGCAGTGTTAGTATGTGAAAGATGGCAACGAGACAGATGACTGGATGATGGACTTGTTTCCTATTCAGTTGAACTCTTCTTTTTTTTCCATAATGCAAATGCTAATGAAACATTTTGTTTTCAATATGCAGATCCTTTGCAAGCAAAGAAAGTAAGAAAGGTGCCTCCTGGCCTGCCTTCTTCTGTAAGTACTTTTTTTTTTAGCTTGATGTTAAGTAAATTGATGTCAGGTATTCAGTATTTACTTGGTACAAGGATGGATTCGATTGGTGCCAGTGGGCATACTTTACATAGTAACTGTTCATTGCTTAACAAAATCATTGATTGAGATAAATCCACACTTAATGTTGAGCTTTTCGTTTTCTGTGCAATGATTTGTAGCTTACTCATGTGCTGTCACTCCCTGTCCCTGTCATTTGAATTCCCCTCTTGGGAAGAAGACTAGGCCTGTAGCTGTCAAAGAAGATCTCCTGTGCAGGTCTTTTGATGTTTAATTAGTCATTATGTTACTGAACAGGAGGACAGACAGAGATTAATAGCTGAGAATCTTAGAAATTTACATTTGTAATAATCCCAATGGAGCTAAAGACATTAAGATTCGGAGGACATGTTCGGCTCAGCTTGTCTCAGTAGGACTGAGGTTATTAATATGCATAAATCACCAAGTCAGATGTTGGTTGTGAAGCCCTTGTGGGTTTTAAAGCCTTCATTAAGCCTTTCCCAACTTCAGTCTAGCATCAGGAAAGCTTTCACACAACTAGTTTGTTGATCCCTCCTTGCTCAAAAATGTATCCTTTGAGAATAAAGAGCTTTGATGTAGGAGGTTGGGGGAGGTTGGTAAAACAATCATTAATGGCTATAGTAACCTAATACTGTAGGAGTGTTTGTGCTGTTAATATACTTTTTCTTTGAAGCAATAGAAGTATTTGTGAATGAACTTACATTATAAATCCACCCACAGTTTAAAAACCTCTGGTGAGAAGGGAAAAGGCCTTTTCTCTGCATGTAGAACAAATGGGCAGTAAAGTTGTTAGATTGAGGGCCCTGTGCCTTGAAGGGTATAGTCTTTTGTTGTGTAAATGGATGTTGGGCTTTTATTGGGCAATAGTTAACACATGGGCACAGGTGCTGCCAGATGAGTCACAGCTCATCGGAGTTTGGACTGAATGGAGTATATCCTGCTTGACAAGTAGCAATCTAGAAGGGGCAGCATGGCCCTGACTTGCTTTTTTTTTTTTTTTTTTTTTTTTGGCTTTTTGAGACAGGGTTTCTTTGTGATGTTTTGGAGGCTGTCCTGGAACTCGCTCTGTAGACCAGGCTGGTCTGGATCTCACAGAGATCCACCTGCCTCTTCCTACCAAGTGCTGGGATTGAGGCCCTGGCTTTTTATTTCTTGTCAAGGGTAAAGTAGAGAAATCATCTTTTGGTTGTTTGCATTCCTTCTCTTCTGTGTCCCACCCCACCCCCTCTCTTCCATGTGATACATGAAAAGTCAAATTGAAATCCCTGAAACTCAATTCTAGATGGATCTGAGTTTTGACAAGCATAGGGAAGCTGTGCTCTGAACCTGCAGCCTGCCTACCTGGAAGGCTGAATTGCTACAGCAAGCATCCTAAAAGCTTTCACTTGCATAAGCACTTGGACCCACTAGAGGCTGAATAGCTGCTTGATAAACAAAATGAACAATGCCTCAAATCATTATTCCTGAAGACAGGAATTTCAGCAGCAGCTAAAAATAGCTGTATGATTTACATTTTAACAGTTGTATGCTGTGCACAGGGTAGGTAGGTAACAGAAATCATACTCGGGTAGACAGAACTGCTAAAACATAGAGCAGTATGATTTCTTATAATTTATTACTATAATCCTATGAAAATAATAAAAGTTAAATTACATGTTAATATTAGTAGAACCACACTGCTTTAAAAAAAGATTAGTGAAAAATCTGCCACACTTATATACAATAAGATAATGGTCCATGTTTCATAGTTACTTCATTTTTAAACAAATTAGCAAAACAGACAAAAGAGCCTGGAAAAAGACTTTGCAGACTCCTTTGTCCTTAAATTTTTAATTATAATAGCATTCACTACTTTGAGATAGTTCTATATTATTTTATGTTCAGGAAATGAACACTACTGCCTTTTGATGAACTTTTGATAATGATTAAGAAATTTTGTAAGCCAAACAGTATTATATTTTACTAACTCCTTTGATACACATCTTTAATCCCAAACTCAGAGTCAGAGACAGTCACATCTGTGAGTTGGAGGCCAGCTTGGTCTTCCTATGGAGTTCCAGGCCAACCATGGCTTTATAGTGAAACCCTGTCTCAAACATGACATGTATATATGTTTGTATATTGCAACGAACATAGTGGTGTGTATGCCTACAATCTCAGTACTTGGGGCACTGAAGTGGAAGGATTGCTGTATATTCCCAGACCAGCCTGGGCAAGACTCTGTTTAAATAAAACAGAATTAAGAAAGAAAATTCAATATTTTTTCTGTTTGACTGCTTATAATGAATATGCAATTTTTGGCATTGTGAATTGTAAAAGAAGTGGGTGCAAAATGAACATGGAGTATGCATATTTTATTGCATGATTATTTGAATAATGAGTATCATACTTCCGAAACTAAAATTTCAACCAAATGTTCAGATTTCAAATGGGCCAGCAGGTAAAAAGCACAAAAGTGTAACAAAACAAACAAATGTTTTGCCTAAATTTAGAAGTAAAGCATTCCTAGATTCTCTGATAGGTTCAGTTTTTGTAAGGGAGCATTCCTCCCTACCCCAGAGTAGGAGCAAAGGAACACTGTTGAGTACACATGGTCTAGTGGACGTCTGCTCTGAGTACAGATTTCCAGAGTCCTGACTTGTAGTGATAGGAGTCTGTTAGGACTGCAGAGTTCAAAGGCTGAGTGTCATACTCAAAGCATGGCAATGATTTCCTTTCCCTTTGAGGGTTCCTTAGCCTCCCTTCCCTCTTATCTGATTTTCCTCTATCAGATCATTGCTGAGATAAAAAGTAAAAGCGTCTTGGGACATTGAGATAGGAATTGGGAAAGCTTCCCCCCCAACCTTTAATTTACAAAAGGAAGTGCAGTCAGGTAGTGCTTCTACAGGACTTCTCAGTCTTCAAAGTGAGAAACTGTGTCAGCCATTTTATTAGATAAGCATGGTAATATAGTGGCTCACACCTTTTAGCCCAACATTAAGGAAACTAAGGCAGGAAGATAACTGTGCATGGACAACCAGCCTGCATTACATAGGGAGTACTGGGTCAGCCAAAGGTATTTGTAGAAAGATACACTCTTAAACAACAATAGCAAAAAGAATTAGTAATCCTAGTTAGAAATTGTTATTTTCTTTTTCCAGTGTTTGGGGTTCAAACCTAGAGCTCCGTTCTAATGTGTGGTAGACAAGTAACATTTCAGCCTACATTTTTTTTAACTAATGTGAATTTTGAGTTAACATTAAATCTGAATGTGTATGGACATCTCAAGATAATTGGAGAGATTCTAAAATGCCCCAAATCACACAGGCTTCTGGCCCCATGCATAGTGCTGGAGCATTGCTGTATAATATCTAAGATTAAGAACTACAAAGAGACAGAATATTAAGTCCTGAATACATATAAAGAGGAGAGATGGCAAGCAGCTGAGGTAGGTAGAAATTAGCTTGAGAAAGTTAAATACAAAATAGTTAGTTCTCTGGTCTAGTGAGATGACCTTCAGGGCTTAGAACTATAAAGAGCCACTTTCAGTTTATCTCTGAAAATAGCAAGAAAAGCAGCAACTGGCATCTCCCAAAGGACTCTCCATAGGGATTACCTGGAAGCCACGGCAACATTTTCATAGGCAATTTTCCAAGACCTCTAAGACTAGCAAAAAATAAAGCTAATGAGGAATAAACCATTTTTACAAGCCAGTATCAACTTCACAAATGAGGTCTGCAGCTCTTTGGATTGAACAGGACATTTGCTTATTAGTTCCTTGGACTCTCAAACAAAGGGGGCATATGGCAACTAGATGTGCAAATGTTGTTTCCTCCTGTTATAGAGGATATTTCTGATCGAATACTGTTCCAGTACAAAATTTCCAAAGTGGCCAGTTCATTCTCTAACTGTAGAGTTGGATGTATGAGGTCTAGATCTAACTTACAAATGCCAGGAAGAAAAGAGCAACCACTTTTTATGTTGATGGTGCCTACTGTTGAAACCGTGTCAGAATTATATCTGTGTGAATGATAGGATTTTGTTTGGTTTTTGGTTTTTAGAGACAGGGTTTTTCTATATAACCCTGGCTGTCCTAGAACTCCCTCTACAGACTGGGAATGGATTTTTGTCATGTGTCACTGGCCAATATGATCTTGTCACAAATTCCTGATTATACTTGGAAAGTTATTTGTTCCTGTGTATATCTTGTTTCTAGAAGTGTAATGTATACCATAGAGATTTGTGTGTGATCTTTCAACTATTTTAAAAACACGCAAGTTCTTATTGTTTCTGATTTCTCCCACTTGTATAGTCATGAAACATTTAAAAAATTATTCTCTGCCTGTGAAGAGAACTAACTTTTAATATTTTTTCTGTTGAATAATTGTCCTCCAATCATAGAGAATACTATCCAGGAAATTATTTCAGCCAAGTGGGATGGAAATAATATCTGTATAGCTGTTACATTCCTCATCTAGAAGGAAACACTTATTGATTACCTGCTGTAAACAGTACTTCTCAATTTCCTTCTTTGGTTGTTCAAATAGTGAAAAATATGCCAACTTGCTTTTTTATGTAAGTAAAAAACTTTTGTTCCCATTTGTCTTCTGAAATATGCTGTTAAATTATACACAAAATAAAGAGTATTTTACAGTAGAAAGGGTAATTCAGCCACCAGCATCAACTCTGTATTGATTCAGGATTGACATCATTAGAAATGTAAGGACCAGCTGGTTGGGGGTTGGCACATGCCCTTGTTCCTAGCACTCAGGAAGCAGAGGCAAGCAGATCTCTGTGAGTTTGAGGCCAGGCTGGTCTACAGAGTGAGTTCCAGGACAACCGGGATTACATAGTGAAGCCCTGTCTCAAAAAATAAAAAAAAAAAAGAAAGAAGTGTAAAGACTTTCTCATAAAACAGCATTAGAGTAGAAACCAGAGAACACGAAATAGATTTTTTTTTCCTG